AGTTGTATATAAACATATATATATCTAATAAATTATATATTTCTTATAATATTTATTGTTATTAAAATAACTTTGATATATATACTGTATGTTCAAAATTTATGATACAAAATATATTATTTAGTGTAAAATATATAAAAATTTGTTTTTGAACTAGGCTGTAAAATAATTGATAACGATTTTCATGCAAATAACAAAATTAACTTTATATAAATTATTTTCGTGAACTTTTTAAGTTTTCACCGAAAATTGTATAGAAGATTCTTTAAATTCTAAACGACGCAGTACTAGAAGAAATATTACTCTCAAATTTACTTGAGAGTACAAATGAATTATATTACATCCTCTCCAACGGTTTTATTTACACGTCAGAAAACATGACTAGAATAATCATTCGTCTCACGAATTAAGAATCAATTTATCTCTATTCGCAAACTCTGCAGATCTTTTGACAAAGTCCATCGTGCTCGTTTTCGCTTAACTACAAACGACGTAATCGGCGTATGAGAACGGTGGCGGCGGCGAAATGTTGGCGTTGGCGCGGTCGCTGGGAACGTTCGTGGCGGACCAGTTTTCGGGGTGAGTCGCTTCCCGGGGATGGGAAGTTGTCCGGAATTGACAGGAACCGGGAGTGGGAGAGAGAGATGGAGAGACGGGAAACAGAGAGAGGGCCAGGGACATTGGCTCCAGACCCCCTGGCGCCGTCGCGTCGCTTCCCAGCTTTTGGCAAAACACATCCTATCCCGGTCGCATCCCGGTCCCGCGGGCGCCTAGGTTCTTTTTTTATGACTACTACCGCTGGTTTCAGCACACCCGGGGATCCCCCATAAAATCTTCTGTCTCCTCCTCGCCTGGTATCTCTGGATCCTCCATCCCACGTCGTCCCTCTTAGCCACTCCTTTACGGAGGCAACGCTCGTCTTAAATAGTAGAGACGTAGCTTCCTCCGGGATACGGAAAAGTCATCGGATTTTATTTCTTCGTGATACGATCTCTCGTTACCAGCATGCGCTATCGATTATTATGTCCAAGGATTATTATAAAGATTATTATGTGAAACGAAAAATTTGTCTGCAATGCGGAATGAGCTTCATTTTAATAACTATTTAATTATGAATAAAATTTTATTTCGTGCGCGTGAGAGAGAGAGAGAGAGAGAAAGAGAGAGAAATTGTCAAATTTAGTAATATTTAGTATCTTGTGGGAATAAATTTCTTTAAAGAACATTCTTAAAAATACAATAGAAGAAGTAAAACTTTCGCAAAATTATAAATTATTAAGAGCTGAAGGTCAATGAAACAAACAAAAAATTATAAGAAGATAGAAAAAAAAAGAGAATTAAATAAGATAATAAATATATAGCAAAGAATATACAATAAGTAATTAGATATTATGCATTAATAAACGATTTATTAAGACAATATAATGTGAATATATAATAAGTAAGGGATAATAAGTAAATTTGTAGATCTATAAACATTAAATGCCTACAAATACTATGCATATTACTTGCTTCTAACATCAATAATTAGAAAAAAGATAATCATTCAGTTTGTGCTTGGAGAGAAAGAGAGAGAGAGAGAGAGAGAGACAGAAAAATGTTTTTATTTACAAATTACTTGTCAATTGGATGCTTCAAACATTCCTTTTTTGCACAGAATATTTTATATTATGATAAATATTTATTAATATTCATTTTTTTAAATGTTATATGGATATTTCATACACATTTTACATAAAGCTTTATTCGAAACATTATTAAAATATAAACTTAATATTTTATGTAATATTTATGATAAATATAAATAAATATTTCTAATAAATATTTCTTACTTAGGTTATAATGTCTCATTAAGTATTTTCATAGCATTTACTATACCTTTACAATAAATATTTCATAACATTTATAATAAATGTTTGTGCACAATGATCTGTGCAATCTAGGACCACAAAAATATTTACGAACTATTTAAAATAAAAATCTTTAAAATATATTTATTAATATTTTGTAAATATTATGTGCTGTCTGGATACTGTGTGACTCATTTATTTCGTAAAACACTTGAATAAATTGAGAGACACTGGTCGCTATAAGACAACGGCAATAAATATGAAAGCAGATAGTTTCGACAATCTCGATCTTCCTTCCTAGATGAGTCCATCGCCCCTCTTATCCTATTCGCCATTCGTATTGCGTACTATCG